ATGCCCCAGCTCAGCCCACGGCTGCCATTGAAAGGCTGGTGGTTCTCCAACATCACATCTTGTCAGGAACTGCATAAGTCTCCCCACCTGGTTCCTTCCTCCCCCTGGCCTACAAGAATAGAAGCTGATAAGAAGTGGGCCTGGTCGATGGGAGTTTTTTGGGTGGATTGAGGAAAAGACTGTGTTTAAAAACAAAAAACAACCCAAGTCATCTAGTCTTGAGGAAGTAGGTAAGAGCCTGGCCACAAAGCTGTTTCCAGCCTGCAGCACTGCCTCTGTGTCCTGCCTGGCACATGAATGGTGCCCAGGAGCCAGGTCTCCACACTCCAAACTGCTGCCTGCCAGCATGCACGATGCTCCCATTTCATACCAAATGTTCAGATAAAGACAAAAAATCAAAAGAACCACCACCTCACAAGGAAATGTGGGGGCAGGATGGATAGAAAAAGAGAGGTTGTCATCAGTTACAGCCTCCTGTCCCCACTCTGCTACAGTTGTAGCCCTTTAGAGAAATTTGCCCTGTGCAGAGTAGGCCTCCAGGCCTACAGCCCAGGCTGTTACCTTCATGATATTATCTGGTCCCAGAGGTTTTGGCAGACATTCCACCTGGGTGGCTCAGCTAGGCCACAAGAACTGAAAAGCTAAACCAAAGGTCATACTAGCCCAGTGGGAGAGGTATGACATGTTACTGGAGCTGATGACAGAGAGCCTTGCTCTCACCTGTACCTTCATGCATAGTACTAGCCCTCTTTTAGTGAGTGTGCTACTCCTGACTTCCAGCCCCTGGACTGGGAGAGAGAATCCCAGACCTAGAGCTGATGCACTCAGAGAGCATCACTTCTGGACCTGTATATCCCAGAAGCCCTCTCATCATTCTTGAGGTCATAGCTTGTCCTAAGCATTAGAGCTTTAGGCTAAGCCTATCCTTTTTTTTTAATTTTTTTTATTTATTTATGATAGTCACACACACACACACAGAGAGAGAGGCAGAGACACAGGCAGAGGGAGAAGCAGGCTCCATGCACCAGGAGCCCGATGTGGGATTCGATCCCGGGTCTCCAGGATCGCGCCCTGGGCCAAAGGCAGGCGCCAAACCGCTGCGCCACCCAGGGATCCCTAGGCTAAGCCTATCCTATTATGCCATCCAGGAAGAACTGGTATCTTCCCTCTGGTTTGCCAAGGACCTGGAATCCTTTTGGGTCGTGTCTTCTGCAATGACTGCATAGACCTATCCTACAGACTTTTTTACCAGTGAAGCAGTAGGGCACTCTGCTTCCTGGACCTCTTTCTTACAGGTTCATAGCCCTGGCAGTTGGCTTATGACCTCTTCCCTGGGATTCTCTCCCCTATCCTCTCACAGAAGATGAGGGAATAGATGCTGGAGTTTTTTTTGTTTTGTTTTGTTTTGTTTTTTTAAAGATTATATTTATTTATTCATGATAGACATAGAGAGAAAGAGAGAGGCAGAGACACAGGCAAAGGGAGAAGCAGGCTCCATGCCGGGAGCCCGACGCGGGACTCCAGGGTCGCACCCTGGGCCAAAGGCAGGTGCCAGACCGCTGAGCCACCCAGGGATCCCCGATGCTAGAGTTTTGAGTGAAGTTCTTTAACTTGGCCTGGGCGAAGGCCTAGCTGGAGTTTTGAACCACAGTGACTGTGGCCTGGAAGCTTTTAGAATAGCTTCTCCCTTCCCTAGTGTACATTGGCAAGACTAGTATGTGCCCTAGCTCATCCCTTCTCCATCATTCCCTGCTGGGGTCTTGAAGGCCTAAGCCTTCTTGTAGGTGACCAACCTTCCTGTGCTTACAGGTAGAGGGAAGGGAGAACCCTATCAGAGTCCCTTGAGATGGTCCAGGCTTCTCAAGAAAGAACAATGACAGAAAGCAGAAATACCAGTCTTGTTCTTTTCCCCAAAGTGAGGGCAAAAGTGACTAGAAAGTGGTCAAGAATTCTGGTTTTGGAAAAAAAAAAATTCTGGTTTTGCTCTCCAAGGGCTGGGAGAAAGAGTGCTGATTGGGAGTTAGGGAGGGAATGCCCTGTCCCTCTCCACCATTTTTTTTTTTCCTCTCCACCATTTTGTATGACTTACACTCTTTTAGGACAGCATTTGCCCTTTGCCCCAGACACTGGAACTTCCTTCTCAGTTGGCTGTCTCCCACCTAGAAATGTTCCAGGAAGCCATCTAGGTTATGGTGGACCATGTTTTCACTGGCTGATTCCCTGTCATGTGGGTGTGGGTGTAGGGCTTGAGGAAAAGAGGGTTGAAAGTTACCTAGAGAAACCATTTACTTCTCTTCCCTTTCACTCCCCTTGGTAAGGGGAATGGAGTACAAGAAGACACTTTTCTATTTTTTTTTTAATTTTTTTTAATTTTAATTTATTATTTATGATAGTCACAGAGAGAGAGAGAGGCAGAGACACAGGCAGAGGGAGAAGCAGGCTCCATGCACCAGGAGCCCGACGTGGGATTCGATCCCGGGTCTCCAGGATCACACCCCGGGCCAAAGGCAGGTGCCAAACCGCTGCGCCACCCAGGGATCCCAAGAAGACACTTTTCTAAACCTTCTCTTAGACCCACTACTCCCCCCACCCCCCTGCCTCTGCAGGGTAGCGGGAGTATGTGTTTGCAGGGAGTCAGTGTTGAGGATAATTGGATTAATCCATATTTCTGAGAAGAGCAAGGAGGGCTCCCTTTGGTTAGAGTGAGTTTGATGAAGAGCATGGTCCTTTTCCATAAGGAAGGCCATAAGTTGAAGATTGTCTCATCTCTTCCTTCTTGGAGCCCTCAGCTCTGCCCTCAACCAGTGCTCTGGCTGGTGGGTATTGCTCTGATCTGCCTCTCTAAAGGCTTCTGGAATAGGCTGTGGAAACACAGCACTAGGTCCCATCTCTTTAGAGGGCAAGACCTACAGTTGGGGCTTAGAATGCCAGTCTCTGAGGTTATCTGCCCCATGGCATACCCTTGGTAGGGCAGCCCTCCTAGGGGAAGCCTGGGTGGCAGAACAAAGGAGCCCTGGAGGGGCTGAGAAAGTCCTCAAAACAGATGAACTCCATTCTCTGCTCTTTGACAGAGCAAGAGCCACAAAGCTGTAGAGAGAGGGGTTTTGCTAAGGAGCAGTGGAGAGAGGAAGAGGACTGAAGTCCTTTCCATGTCCTTTCCATGCTGTCTGCCACTTCTTGGTGGTGATAAATATTTGTTGAATGAACACATCTTCTGCTTTTCTCTTGAGATTCAAAGCATACCCCAGACATCCAGACAAGTGTAGAAGGAAAAGGAAGCCCCAGCAGCTTTTCTTCAGCTCTTTGGTTATATATCTGTGGCATGACAGATCTAAACCATAAACAGTGATGAATAGCCAAGCCACCTGGTACTTTGAACATTATCTGTAAAGAGTCAGAGTGGACTATAGGCATCCTAGTCCCCTGTCCCTGGGAGGTGGTACGTCAAGTTTAATTGTCCCAGGGAGGCAGAGTTTAGCAGTAAGATCTAAGCTCCCAGCTTTCCAGACTCCTCTCTGGCTTGCCCTGGGCCACCATTCATTCATCCCACTCCTGCTTCCTCCAAAAGTCCCCAGAGAAACTTAGATTTATTTTTGAATCTCCTACCTTCAGGGCCTTCCACCTGTCTCCTGCCTCTCAGTGTCTGAGGTTTTCAGCCCTACAGAGAAACTCCTTATTAACTTTGTCTTTTCCTGAATCTTGCTTCAGACTGTGGCTAGAGAGCTCATGGACAACTATGGTTGGGACTTGAGGAACTGTTTAGAACCAGCTCAGGGCAGGCCTGTGTTCTGTGTGGTCTAATGAAGTAGCAGTCAGGGAAGATGTAGCAGGGTCTGTGACTCACAAGCTCTACCACAGGATAGACATAGCATTCCTTTCTGCGTAGCCTGGGGTAAGGATCAGCCAGGGTGGAGCTGACTATGAGACCTCAAGTCTACACATCACCCCATCTCCCTGGAAGCTGCTGCCTGCCAAAGTAGGGAGAAGGGGTAGTACCTATGGTTAACCAGGAGAGGAAGCTTCATGGTGTTGTCCCAGGAGAGGCTGGAGTAGGAGTGGGAGTGCTGAGAAATCTGAGCCAGGGCTGTGCAGTGGGGGCTATCCTCATGATGCCTACCCAGGGTCATGGGGCTCTAGCCCAGAAGAGTTGCCCAAACTGGGGCTGACTGGTGGCCCTAAACCTACCAACCCAGGTGCACAGGCATTGAGCTAGAAGCTTTATGCCTTTCATCCTTATAGGAACACTTACAGAGACAATATTCTCATTTTACAGAGAAGGACACAGATCAGAGAGGCTAAATGGTTAATAGCTGACAAGTGGTGATGCCATATGTCAGCCTAAGATTTTCCCAGTGCTTTCTTCTTCTGGGAGGCTTGACTGGAAAGGGACTTTGAGCTGGGGTGAACAGATGAGAGATCTCCCAAGACCTGGCTAGCAAGGACTATGACCAGTAGCCTGCAGTGCCTAGGGGAGTGACTGGAGAGAGTTTCATTTCAGCAGTCCTGGTGTGTCTCTGCTGACAGAAATTTAGGAGTGGGGCACTTAGACCATTTACATACACACCTTTCCCTTTGCCTCTGACTTGTTAAATCTGGTTTGTACTTGAGGCCACATGTTTCTTGGTGGTCCACAAGAAAATGGAGAAAGTTTTCATTTCTAGAATGTCAGGACTGGAAGAGTGGAGGCAGAATAAAATTATTACTTCCATCTGTGTCCTTATATAATGATTTGTAAAATGATTTGATTTGATTATTTTTTAATATTTTATTTATTTATTCATAAGAGACACAGAGAGAGAGAGGGCAGAGACACAGGCAGAGGGAGAAGCTGGCTCCATGCAGGGAGCCCAACGTGGGACTCGATCCCGGTTCCCCAGGATCATGCCCTGAGCCACCCAGGCGTCCCTGTAAAATGATTTTATTTATTTATTTATTATTATTTATTTATTTATTTATTATTTATTTAACCAGAACGTTTATTTTGACTAATAGTTGAAATAAAAAGTATGGAATGCTTCACGAATTTGCATGTCATCCTTGTACAGGGGCTATGCTAATCTTCTCTATCGTTCCAATTTTAGTTTATGTGCTGCCGAAGCGAACACTGTAAAATGATTTTAAAGCATATCTTCAGGGATCCCTGGGTGGCGCAGCGGTTTGGCGCCTGCCTTTGGCCCAGGGCGCGATCCTGGAGACCCAGGATCGAATCCCACATCGGGCTCCCGGTGCATGGAGCCTGCTTCTCCCTCTGCCTATGTCTCTGCGCCTCTCTCTCTCTCCCTCTGTGACTATCATAAATAAATAAAAATTAAAAAAATAAAAAAAATAAAAAAAAGCATATCTTCATTGCTATGACTTCCTCTGATTCTTATAATGCTGAGATATTATATATGGAGATGATACTCAGCTGGACAATTTTTTTTTGGACAATTTTTTTTAAAGATTTTATTTATTCATGAGAGACTCAGAGAGAGAGGCAGAGACACAGGCAGAAGGAGAAGCAGGCTCCATGCAGGGAGCCTGACATGGGACTCGATCCTGGGACTCCAGGATCACACCCTGAGTCAAAGACAGATGCTCAACCACTGAGCCACCCAGCTGTCCCAGGGACAAGTATTTTTTAATGCCTGTTACATGTAGGCCAGTGCTAGGTCCCAGAGTGATGAAGAAATGATTAATTAAAAAATATGGTCTATGCACAGTTTATATTTTGAGTAAAGGAGATGGATATGTATGTATGCATCTTTTTAGGCTCTGTATAATATCTTAATAAATATGGGCTAGATTTGGTTTGTGCTCCAAACTAGTTCATAACCCCTAAGAGGATAGGATACAGTGAGAGATGAAGCTTAGGAGGGTGGCCTGGTTTGAGGGTCTCTGAATGCTATGCTAAAGAACTTGACCTTGGCCCTTGTGAGCACCCCATCTCATAGGCTTTTGGATGTAGGAGCCTGATGAGTTTGTTAAATCTGAAGTGCCATATAGACATGCTGAAGAGGCTGTTGAGAATGTAGGTCTAAAACCCAGAGTAGGGACTCCTGGGTAACACAGTGGTTGAACGTCTGCCTTCAGCTCAGGCCATGATCCCTGGTCCAGGGATCGAGTCCCACATTGGGCTTCCTGAAAGTAGCCTCCTTCTCCCTCTGGCAGTGTCTCTGCCTCTCTCTCTGTCTCTCATGAATAAATAAATAAAATCTAAAAAAATAAATAAATAAAACCCAAAGTATACGGGCTAGCAACAGATTTGGAAGAGGATGGGGCAAAGAAGCCAAAAGGGCTGAGGGCAGAACCTTTGGGATGCATTACAAGCTGGAAGAAACAAGGAAGTGTCTAAGTCAAGAAAGTAGATTGCAGTGACTTAGAAGTCAAAGTGGTGGTCACCAGGAACAAACAGGAGAGAGTGAAAAAGAGGGTGGGGGTAGGATTGCTTTCTTCTGATTGTTTAGGAATCTTGGCCTGAAAAGAAAAAGTGGCTTGCTGCCTGCTGACAGCCTAGACTAGAATTTGACTCCCGAATCCACCGCTCTCCTCTTCCTCCTTTTGTTTATTTGTTCGTTTATTTAAGTAATCTCTACACCCAAATTGGGGCTCAAACTCATGACCCTGAGATCAAGAGTTGCATGCTCTTCCGACTGAGCCGGCCAGGCACCCCAATCCACTGCTCCTCTGATGTAATTGAAATTGAAGGCTGAGCCTGCCATAGGCAGGCTAGGGACTCCCAGAGTCAGATGGGCCTTTCATCAAGGGTGTCCTTATAGCCAATATGCATTTCCCCCTGGCCAGATAAAAGACTGCAAAGTGGTCAAATGGTATGGAAGAGGAGCTGACAACTTGGGTGGCCTTCCCCTGTGAAGCCCTGGTCAGACCACATCTGAAAGATCTTGTTTGCATGTGTGCCTACCCCTGTCTCTACCCCCCAAGGTGGACTGGAATGAAAATGGGGTGGGGATGGGAGAACAGTTTTATTTTGTTTTTAAAGATTTTATTTATTTTTTTATTCATGAGAGACACAGAGAGAGGCAGAGACAGAGGCAGAGGGAGAAGCAGGCTTCCCGCAGGGAGCCCAATGTAGGACTCAATCCCAGGACCTCGCCCTGAGCCAAAGGCAGATGCTCTACCACAGACCCACCCAGGTGCCCTGGGAGAACAGTTTTAATTGGGGCTCTTGATCAGCTTACGCCCGGCTATCTCATTCTGCTTCCTTCAGAGTGCTGGCTGGAGTTCTGTGAATCTCGTTAGAGATGGTTTGATATGCCTTCCCAGGAGACTGGTATTGGCAGGGATCCCCAGTTCCTTGGTACAGATGGTTTAATCCAACTCATCCAGTCAAGATGGCACTATAAATTTATATCTAAACACATAGCAGTAATACACAAAAAGATAAAATTCTAAAAACATAGTCATACACTCCCCCTCCTTCCCCTCACATGAAAAGACAAACATCCCTGTAATGAGAAATGGAGCAGGAACACAAAGAGGAGAGCAGGGCTGAAGCTGAAGGCGTGCTGGTCTCTGAGTCTAGAAGCAGGAACAATCAGTTGGAAATCTGGGGTAACAGAGCTGTAAAGTTCTCCACATAAACCATGGAATTAGAGGTTGTACACTGCTTGAACCCAGGGGCTGGGAAAGTAGGCTGAAAAAAGTTGCTTGCAACCCTGCCCTGGGACTATGAGTTTTATGAAGATGCTTACCTAGGGGGAAGAACCTCACATCCTGGACCTAAGCTGAGTAGCTGCTATAAGATTTGATTCTAGCCTAGGAGAGCCAGAGGACATAAGGTGTTGGGAGAGAAAGGTGAAAACCCCTAGATGGGAAGGCAAAAGTAAAATATGAGAGGAGATGAATTTATGCACTAAAGTTTAGAAACATGTGAGGAGGGATCTCTGGGTGGCTCAGTGGTTGGGCGTCTGCCTTTGGCCCAGCGTGTGGCCCTGGAGTCCCAGGATCCAGTCCTGCGTCGGGCTCCCTGCATGGAGCCTGCTTCTCTCTCTGCCTGTGTCTCTGCCTCTCTCTCTGTCTGTCTCTCATGAATAAATAAATAAAATCTTTAAAATATATATATATATGAGGAAAATTAGTGAGAAAAAAGAACCAATAAAAATCAAAGAAAAATTTACCTCAGAAAAAATTAAAATAACAGTTATTAGAAAATGTCTTTTTAATATAATAGATTGAGGATCCTCAAAGAGATAAAGAAACATGAAATCCATTAAAGAAAATAAAACGAAGTTATGAGACACATCTGGCTGGCTCAGTCAGTGGAGTATGTGACTCTTGATCTCGGGGTTGTGAGTTCAACCTCATGTTGGGTGTGGAGCCTACTTAAGAAAAAAAAAAAAGAAAAGTTATGAAAAGAAAAAGAAACAGAAAAATGTCAGTATGAAAAGTACTAAAAATTCTAGCAGTGAAAAATAGTGTCATTCGAATTTGAAACAATAGATAGAACTCTAGCCTAGACACACAGAATCTCACGAATTGGAAGCTGACATTGAGGATTCCATCCAGAAGGCAGCACAGACATGGAGAACAGATTGACAAGCTTTAGCATGCATCTAATAGGAATTCCAGATATGAGTCAAGAAAATGGCAAAGAATTAATATTTGAAGAGAGAATGGTTGAGAATTCCAGAATTGAAGAAACAGCGTGAATACTGAACAATAAATAGGTATCTAGGCACTATGAAGTGAAGTGGCAGGCAAGAATAAAGAGAAAATATTAAGAACTACCAAAGAAAACCAAGAATTCAAAGGAATGACCATTAGACTGACATACATCTCATCAATGCAGATACCAGAAGATGATAGGGGTATCTTAGGGAAGCTAGAACTCTCCACCCACTATCATTCAAGAATGAGGTGAAATAAAGACATACTAAGGCAATTTTATCACTTTTAGACCTTTGCTAAAAGATATACTAAAGGTATGCTTTATTAAGAAGAAAAGTAAACCCAGGGAAAGGAGCTTATTGCTAGCACCATCCTGAGCACAGAAATTGACACATAATGTTGATAAATTTAATTAACTGTAGGACAATATATCAGGATACTTTCTGCTATAAGTAACAGAATAACCCACAGTGACTTAAACTGTGTGTGTGTATATATATATATATTTTTTTTCTTTTATAATGAAAAATATGGAGGTAGGGAATTCCAGGGTTGAGACAGTGGTCCAGCATTGACATGAAGGACCCTGAATCATTCATTCCATCTTCCTCCTCTGCCATCCTCAGAGTGTAAGATCTCTCTCCTCATGGTGTTGAGATGACTGCTGCAGCTCCAGGTGTCATATCATTTCCCATAACATCCCAGGCAGGAAGACAAAGAGATGCTAGCTGAAAGGAAGCTTTTGAATGTGCCTCTCATTCAGGAAGGATAATCTTTCCAAGAAAGCCCCTGCAGACATCTCCTTATGTCTCATTGGCCCGAGCTGGTCCATCCTCAGACTAATTCCAGATGAAAGAGAGTAGGCTTACTATGGTTGGCTTTGACCAGCCTCACCTCCTCTCCTGGGACTGGCTCCATTGTTGCCTGAGCAAAATCAGGATTCTGTTGACAAGAAAATAAAAGGGGGAGTAGCTCCTGATAGGCAATCAACAGTGTATGCCACAGATGGCAAAACACACACAGATCCAGTGTCTGATTTGCTTTTCAATTAAAGAAAAAAAGGAAAACAAATTGTTGACCACACTGCCAGGGAAGAATAATAAGGTAGAATGAAGTAGGGAAATTCATTGTTAAATCACACCAAGTTGCTGCCTTGTTCAAGGGAATAGTGCTGCTGAAAACTTGGAGATTTCATTAAAAAACAAACAAACAAACAAAAAAACATGTATAGGGACGCCTGGGTGGCTCAGCAGTTGAGTGTCTGCCTTTGACTCAGGGCATGATCCTGGGGTTCTGGGATCGAGTCCCACATCAGGCTCCCTACGGGGAGCTTGCTTTTCCCTCTGCCTTGTCTCTGCCTCTCTCTGTGTCTCTCATGAATAAATAAATAAAATCTTTTTAAAAAAATATGTATATGCTAGTAATTTAAGATAACCACTAAATAAAAGAGAAAATTTCCAAGCCAGGAAGAAAAAGAATGGTGAGATTAGGGATAGCA